TGGATGCTATAAGAGATCTGCCCACAAAGCACAGTGAGTCTGAGGAGCTTACTCAGTGTCTTATGTTGGGTTCCTCAGAAGCAGAACCTGAGGCAGGGATCCTGGCACACGTAAATAATGAAGGGGTTGCTCTCAGAGAAGGGGGAGCAAGGGGAGCAGGACAGGGCAGGGGAGGGCGCTAAGCCAGGAGGTGCTCTCAGCTGGAGTCTGACGACAGCCTGGGCCCAGGGAGTGTTCAAGAGTTTGAATTACACCATAGAACTGGTTCCACTTTGAATCAAGTGGGGTGGGCTTGTAAATCCTCCTGTGAGCTAGTCATTGGCCGAGAAGGAGGGCGTGCCTAACCTCTCAGGGCAGGTGACTTCTGTTAGTCTGAGGGCAGTTCCCTGGAGAAAAGAGGTCGTGAGAAGGGGCATCTGTGGGTGGTAGCGGTCAGCATTCATGGCAGCATCCTGGTGAAGTTTATCTCAACACGGCACTCACCGTGACTACTAATTACCCTCATGATTTGGGATCAGATGATCCTTTCCAGACTCAAAACTCCCGTGCTGTGAGGTGGGAATCCCTTGCAAATTGTGACCCCCTATAGCTACAATTTGATAGTTGAGAGTTGAAATTGTCACAAGAAATGCCAGGGCTCTCCCTGGCCCACTCACCAGGGCCCGCAAGGATTCCGTCTCAGCCTGGAGGCTCTGGACTTGGCACGAAGTATTGTGTAACTCCACCCTGAGGGCAGCAACCAGCTTCTCTTCCTGGGTCTGGGCCACGTGGACCACCTCTGCCTGTTGCTGTTGAGAGTCAGGTCTTGAGTGAGCAGGATGAGTGGAGAGCCTGAACCCGTTCTTCCTTCTCACCCTTTCTAATGACACTCCACCACCTCTAACTCAGAGCAAGCAGCAGTTAGATTTAAAACCCCTTTTTTTCTGAGCAACAGTGGTTCAATTCCCAGTCCGAGCTGAGCAGCTGCTGAGCAGCCAACAGGTGGCAGAATGGCTCGGCTTAAAAACAAACAAACAAACAACATAAAACCCCTCTTTTTCTATAGGCATCTACACCAGCTTGTATACAAACATTTATTTATTTGAACATTTAATGCATGCAAATAGAATAAAATTCAAAAGCTTTTCTAAAGAATATATGGCAGAATGTATATATAGTGTTTTTCTCTCTGTGCCCTAATTACCCAGGTTTCCACTTTCTTATACCTCTTTCCAGAATAGTTCATATATTTATGAAGAAATATATATGATCATTCCCCCCTTGATTTGGAACTTAATATATCTTAGAAATGTTTCTATATTAGTATTTATATAGATCAATTACATTTTTAATGGCTCCATATTACTGCCTTGTTTGAAAGTACCATAATTATTTAGAAGTCTCCAACTGATGGACACTTATGTTCCTTCCAGTTTTTGCCTGTTACAAACAATGGTGCAAAGAATACCCTACATCCTTCATTTCTGTACATAAGAGTATCTCAGGGTATAAATTACTACAGTGGAACTGCTGAATCAAAAGTGTAGGCATTTGTAATTCAGATGAACGTGGCCAAATTGCCCTTCGGGGAATTTGTAACCCCTTCCAGCACTGTGTGACAGTGCCAATTGTCCCGCACCTTCCTCAAATAAGGAATTAGCCAACTTGATCTGATAGTCCCTTTCCCTGTAAAAACATGTCTGGCCATAATTGTAACTATCAAGGGGAAGGTTTGTGTTTTGAACTTTCTTCTTGAGCAAGATGGACATATTCTGATTGCTCTCCATACCTTCAGGGGAACAGGTCATCTTTACTCCTCTCTTTGCTGAGGAGAAGGGTAAAAATGAGAGCTCACTCTCATTTATCTCCAATGCAATGGAAATCTCCAAGCCAGCGATGCTGGAGGAAAAAAAAATTGCTTTGTCTCCTAGGTTACTGGCTTTCTGGATTGACCATTTTTACTACATATGAATACTTCTTTATAGAGTTATGCAAAATTAGGCCAATCATTGGCTGGCTAAGAAACCCCAAGTCAAAAAGAAAAGGCTCATATCTCAGTATTGGTTCTTTCAGTTCTTGCTGTTTGAGGGCTGTGAAGAGCTCAACAAAAATGCCCATTAAAGGCCGGAGAGGGGCCTTTTGACAGACAAATGGAGCCAGGCAACAGCTGCAGAGTGACCAGGGGCAGCCATGAGCCAGAGCTGGCTTCTAACAAACAGCTCATTAGAGCTGAGTGTTAAATTTTCAGGAATTTTGTAAGCTGGTTGTTGAACACAATTATCATTAAAAATTAAGTTATATCAACTTATAGTTAAACAAATTATATTTAAAATGGTAATAAATACTCAAAACACATCACTTGCTAAGTATTTACATTTTATCATTTATGCTATTGGGGTTATTTACATCGATGGTGGGAATAAATGGTGTGTTCTGTGTATCTCTTCCCAACTTTGTGGTCATTTATATCAAATTAGTAGTTTGAAATCAGCCATGGTCAGAGTATTGACACCATGGAAATTGGCAAACACTATAAATCCAGGCTTGAATGACTGTTTTGTCAATGACAAGGGATGCAGAAAATGTTAATACTGCAGATTAAACTTAAAAGTGGGTCATGTCTATAACTGTTGCATTGTGAATGGCACAAAAATTAGAGGGGCTATTCTTCCAATATTTGAAAATTATTAACTGATTTGCAAAGAAGTTACATTATTGATGAATTGAGCTCATTAAAGTCAACAAGAATATCAACTAAAATTTTTATTGGAGTTACCCTCATTCATCATTGATGTAAGTGAATTTCTGCTTAATTGGATATTAATAAGCAAGCAAATAAGACTACAGAAGTAGTCTGATTTTGTGACACTCTTGTTGATGACAGGATTACAAAAATGGTTGGAAGGTTTTGCAAGAAATAGCAAGTCACACTGAAGTTACCAGTGCAAAATGGAAAAGCAATGTAAGTATTTCATCTTAAAATTCATTATTTCTAAAATTATATAAAGAAAACATCAAAAGAATCATGGGTAAGAGCGAGGCATTGAGGGGAGGCCAAGCCCAATGGAGGGTGTGTTTCAAAGACTTGGTGGGCGGGTCTGGAGTAAAGCTGGGGCCAAGGCTATTGCCACAGTCTCCCATATGACCTGTCCCTCTTGTCAACCCAGGCAATGGGTGGCTTGTATTCAGTGATTCAGTGGTACACATTGGTCTTTGGAGGTGCGAATCCCCTTGTCTTAGTTTCATTAGCAACATGCCCTTAACCAAGTGTTTCCCAAACATTCTTGGACAACCAGCATGGTTTTTCACATATCTACATACTAAATCAAACTATTTTGATTTCAACCAATTCATTTTTTCTTTGTAAATAAATGTGTTTAGGATGGAAACTGTATATAAGTTCTCAGATTTTAATATGCACCAGCATTATCTGGGAGATCTTGTGAAAACACAGGTCCTGACTCAGGAGATCTGAGCGTCTGCATTTAAGACACCCACGTAACGTTTGGTCTGTGGAAGCGAATTTCTAAATTACTACAGAAACCGATAGAACTGTTTCAATTGCCACAGATAGAAGATAAGTGAAAAGTTAATAACATTAAAGCAAGCCAATGTTATCATATTCTAGCATGGGTTGCCTGCCAAGTTGCTGATTCGCAAAGCCTGTTTTCTCTTTATTGAAAGGTGAGATTAGTAAGTATAAGAAAAGTGCTAATGACCTACCAGCACCAAACAGTTTAATTAAGATTGAAAGAGAAATTAATCTGATCACTATGCCATTTTATATCAGGCCTCATACCGTCTCAAACCAGCTTGCCATATATTTGCCTTTCATTTGGGAACAGTTAATTGTTTTAGTTCAGCTGAAAGTATTACATGTTATTCTCCAATGACTTTTTAGATTTATGCTTTCTAGTTATTGTAATAACTCCATTTCTGTTTTCATTTCAACCCAGTGCCTCCGATTTCTCCTCACAGACCAAATAGTAGGTGTGTGATTCTACACCCTGAGGATAGGAAGGCAGGAATGTTTCGTTGCTCAGTGCAGTTGCTAGGAGGTACAATGAGATTCAAATATGTTAGTCCCCAGGCTTTCAAACCAGCTTGAAATCTTGGCTCCACTGTGCAGGGGCTGGGCTGCCATGATCATTCTCCATCTATATTTCTGGGGCAGGAGGGTATGTGGACATTTTAAAATATGGTAAAAATTTTCAAATTGAATTTTTAAAAAAAATTTTTATTGGGTAACAGTGTGTTTTTTCCAGGACCCATCAGCTCCAAGTCCAAGTCCAGTAGCTGTTTTTTAATCTAGTTGCTGGGAGGAGGAGGGGGGCGCAGGCCACTATCCCATGCGGAAATCGAACTGGCAACCTTGTTGTTCAGAGCATGCTCTCTAACCAGCTGAGCCATCCAGCTGCACCCCCAAATTGAAATTTTTAAAATTAAATTTGCACATGACTGCACATGAAGGATGAAAGTGAGAGAAGAAAAGCAGCATGCTTAAGTCAGAATGAAGTATTTGAGAGTCTCCAAATGGAGAGGAAAAGCAACATCTTCAAACCCAACCCAACCCACTTTGCTGATTAACTTCGCCATTCCCCAGAGCATCCTGGCAACAACCTGCAGCTGGAAGAAATGGGCGGTGAGAGCTTAGGAGGAGACAGGGTACGGAGAGTGATGATGCAGGGGTGTTCTTAGCAGAACACGTATCCTGGATGAGGATGCAGGGGTTGAAATGTGTGTATTCTGCCTTTTCTCGGAGCAGTTGCTGCTTGGGTTTCAGCAAGCCCCTCGAGCTCTCCGGTGTATGCAGCTGGTGAACAGCAGCTTTATAACATCACCCTGCTTCAGAGTATAGCTAACTGCCTTGCTCTTACATGTTGTAGACCTCCTAGGATCATACTCACCTCATTATGTTCACCATTATGGAGACAGGAGAAGGAATGAACTCTGAGGTTCTTGATCTTGTATAACAGAGGAATCTTACCCCACAGGGGGGTGCACAGAACCTTGGTTTGGCAAGATCTTGACAGAAGCCTAGCATATCCTTTTAGCCCCTCAAGACAGAGGGCTCCCAACTTCACATTCCACAAGATGTTACTTGCTCATTCTTAAAAAAAAGAAAATGACTCAGGGTTCACCCACTCCATGTCATCTGCCCAGCCTAGCAGTTAGGAGTGTTGATTCTGGAGTAATGTGAATGAAAGAGTGGCTATGTAGTGCATCTGACAAGCTCAGTGACCGAAAGTAACCTCACAGGGTGTTCTGATCATAAATTCGTAACTGGGCAGGTCATGGTGGGTAGTCACATCCAGGCATATAACTTCCTTAGAAAAAGGTTAATTTTGCCCTAAGCCCTGTCCATTGTTCTTGTGCACCTAGCTGAACACACCTCTGAAATGCCAGAGTGATCTTCTTTTCTAAACCCCTCAGAGGCATGACCACCCTCAAAGGAGCACATGATCTAGTTTCCCATACACCATCCCCACTTACTATAACTGTTAAATGTGAGCTATCCCATATGCATCAATGTAAAAGAAGTATGTGTCTCTTCATTTTACTAATTATTCAATCATAGAGATGTCCCTACTTGGCTTTCTCTCAACTCCTTTAATCTAAGACCAATGGATTCCATGTAATCTTCTTTACTTCCCTCTTTGATACCAAATGCATAAAAAGAACTGCAAAACTGCTGTTTTTCCAGAGCATTTTCTCAGTCTGTTGAGAACTTGTTTCCCAGCCTGTCCTCAGTTTGACTCAAATAAACGCTTATAAATTTTTTCTATAAGTCTGGATGTTCTTTCATCAACAGTAAGGATGTATGATTTGCGTTTTAGCTCTGCCACTTTCTAGCTGTATGATCTGGGTGAGTTACTTAGCCTCACTGTATCTCAATTTCCTCTTCTATAAAATGGATAAAATCACAATACTATCTCATGTTGGGAAGATGAAATGAGAACGTGCCTGTCAAGTACTTAGAACACTGGCTGGGACTTGGTAAGTGCTCAATAAATGCTTTGCTGTTGCTGTTTTCATTGCACATTCCATTCTGCCTTGTAGAAGATGGTCTTTCTATCCATTGTCTCCCACCTCCACCCCAGCTACCCTCCACACTAGATTGTGGGTACCCTGTGTACAGAGACCATTTCTTAGTCACCCCTTTGTTCCCTCTGGGGACCTAGCATGGCTTTGTATACCCAATAAATGCTCAACAGCATTTATTGAAGGTCTACAATGTGTGCCAGGCACATGCTGGGGGCTAAAGAAGAGGAGGATGTACCAGGAATAGAATTACATCACATCTTCTTTTCATTAGGAGGATTAGCTATCATTATTATAACAATTATAAGTCACTTTAGAGTCATGCAGTATCATATAAATGTTACTTAGCGAAGGATAGCTCTTGATAGGCAGCACACACACCCTGACCTACCCCAGCCAGATGTAGGATTTATTTGGGAGAAGGCTGGATGCCATCCAGTCTTCACCAGAGACATGGGTCCTCCTTAGCGGGAATTAAAAAGAAGTTCATGTCTCACTCAGTGAAACTTCAGCATTGGCAGAGGAGCTGGCCTGGCTAGGCTAAGCCAAGTTTCTCCTTGAATTTACGTAGGAACTGTCTGGCTCTTGACACTCTCTTTAGGGTATAGGACCAATTCCCAGCTTCGGGGGAAGCTGCCAAAGGAGACACAAAGGAACACATGGCTCTGCCCACCTAGGTCAGAAGGAAGTGCGCACTGCTGATGAGAGCAGCAAAAGAGGCTCAGCAATGAGTGTCACACTGCAGAGATATGTATAGTTTTCTTTTTCAAGTACTTATTGGGGAAGTCTGTTATAGTATTTTTGCTGTGGTTTGTTGAGATCATCCCATTCCAAGGAAGAAGGGTCTTTTCTGCTTTGTCCCTTCCAGGAGACTACTAAGTGTTGAATATAAATTTGCACCACCTTAATTTCTCAGAGATTTGGCTTGTTTCATCTCTGCAAATTTCTTATTTTAGAAGTAAGATCCCTATACTTTTTATGAGAAAGAGCCACTATTAAGACATTCCTAAGATGGCTTTGAGACTGATAGAAGCGGGTGGCCAGGGACAGGCATGCTTTGAAGGCAGGGACTCTGTGTTCACAGCACCAAGAGCAGGACTTGGAACCTGGTTTGTGCTTGACAAATGGAGTCTGAGTGAAGACTCTTTGGTAAAGGTATAAGAAGGACGATGCTGTGTTGGGTGATGCCCTGCATATATAGTCACTCAAATACTGGCTGTTGACCAGCTGTAAGTTTGAAAACACAATACAGAAGATGAAGGCCTGGGAGTGCCCTCTACAGTGTATATGGTTGTGCTGGGTAGGGTAACAGATGGGCAGTGCCTGCCTCAGTGAGACAGTCTCTCCATTTTCCCTTTTAACAACTACTCTGTTCCACCCCAGTTATGCCCCCCAGTCACAGCAGCTGGGATACACTACTGAGGCATACAGCAGTAGGAACCCAAAACTGGCCCACCTGCCTCCTGTAATAACCCTTTCCTATTGGCTAACAATATATTTTGAACGCTAGTTGGAACTACTGTAAATTAAGTAAAAGGATAAGTGACAAGCTGGGAACATATTTGCAATTTACATCATAGAGAGAGGACTAATTTCTCGAATGTACAAAAAGCCACTACAAAGCAATAATAAAAAGTCCAAGGCCTGGGGTGGCCAGTTAGT